TGATGCTTATTTTGCATGCTTGTAGTTCAATACCCATGCCTAGCTTTGAGATTTGAGGTCTATTACATGCATATACTGAGGTGTTTTCATGCTTTGGGGTCATTATACATCATATTTCGGAGCTTATATGAATGCCATATTCCCATGATTTCCACTCTTTAAATGTGTTTGAGAGTTGTGCATAAATGTCTCATTTTCGGACCATTGCATGAGCTTCGTTTCTTTGCATGTTGAGTCATCATTTTGGGCCATTTTCCCACTATTTCAGACCTGCCTAGGGTCTGTTTGGGGTTGGTTTTTCCATTTATACATTGCTTTGTGTACCTCTAGTGTAACCCGCTTCATTAGTTTCGGTATTCGAGCTATCTTGCATGCATTGTGTGACATATTTGCATGATTCGGGACCATTGTACATTATGTTTCAGAGCTGGAAAATGTGTGTTTAGAGCTGGAAAATGTGTGTTTGCATGCCATACTTCATCCTTTGCCATGCTTAGTTAGAGTTGCATGTTGTGCCTTAGGATTGGTCCTTTGTATCCGTGCATGTTTGCATGTATTTCGGTTCTCTCATTTCCATCATATGGCCACTGATGTGAGTGTGGTTGAGGTCCACTCATATTGGTATAAGTCCGTCTTGCATTTGTATATGCCATTTAGTTCATGTGCGCATGATAGTCTTCGTAAGTGTATTGTGTATGGCATGTTATGTCACGTGCATTGTGTATGCCATTTTGGCTCATAGCATTGCGTATGCTAGGTTGCATGTTAGTCGCATTGTGTATGCCATCTCATTGCTTTGTGTTTGGAGTAGGGTTTAGTCCGAACACGGGAAACGAGGGACGTTTCGTACTCCAAGTGACGAAACATGCCTCGATTCTCGGTCGCCGACACTCTTGACTGTCCATGATAGAGTTGCTGCCTTTACTTGTTTATATATGCATTCATTTCACATCGAGTCGTGCAATTCAACTTCTCGGCCATCATGCATCGAGATGCGTGATTAGTGACATGAAGATCGAGGACTACACTCCCTTGAGCTTGTGCAAGGACGGGGAGAGTGGTCATGCACACGTTTGTTGAAAATACATTGCCTTTTGTCTCTCTTGCCTTTGTTGTAGAAAAACCAGAAACCAGAGATGGAAACTGGTCGGCCGACCAGATTTTCTGGCAGGCTGACCACCTCCTTTGGTCTCCACCACTAAGGGTGGTCGGCAGGTGGTCTCCCATGCTAATAACTAGTCGGTGGCCTTCCCAAGGTGGAGTTTCAGCCTTCTGGAGCTTTGTGCAAGTTTCTGAGATCACTTGCAAACAAAGGCGAGGCGATGCGTCGCGATGGAATTTCCCGACAAGGCGACCCGAGTATGCATGCATCCTTCATCATTCAGAACAGAGCTGAGGCAGTCCATTGCACGTAGCGTAGCATAGCATGCTAGTTTACTTTGCTTACCTAATTCATTCGTTAAGTAATTAGTATTGTGTAATAATTCGTTATTTATTTTGGTTGTGTAATAATCTTTCAGACCCTCCGAGAAAGGGCCAATTATTGTAATAAGTGTGCGTGTGTGTGATGTATGTCTTCCAACCCCACGTCTTTCTCCCTTTTATTTACCAGCTTATGATGGTTAGTTTAGGGCATGTTTCAATTAGCATACTTATGATAGCATGTTTTCATTCATTCATCTGTATTGCATGCACCGGGCTCGGCGTATCATACTAACTGCATTGTATTTCAATACCAACTTGAATACATGATTATCCAGTTGCATTTTATATGCCATTTTAGAATAGCCGGGCCTATTTCTAGTTTCCTGCATGTGTTGCATTAGGCATTTCAGTATAGTTAGGATCATGCATGGATTTCTAACATAGCTTCTGTTTTGGCTTGGAGTACTTGGTAAGTGCTTATGCTTTAGCATCCTTGCATGTGTGTGAGTGACTGCCATGATAGCATGCTTACCATGAAGCTATGTGCTTATGTGATATACCTTCCTGAATGCCTATGGGTGAAGGTTAGATTATCTGAATTGGAATAATGCATTGACTGTGAGTTTTAAGCCCACTTGAGAGTGGCAAACCATCACGTTTTCTAAGCCCACCCGAGGGTGGCAAATCCACATCTTAGCCTACTTGCGGGTAGCACCATCAAACCATTTTCAAAATAAACAAACATGAGATGTGTTGTTCCAATTTAGGCGATCTAGTCTATACTTGTATGCTGTGCGCATCACGTAATAAATCTAGGCTAATAACCGGAATAAGAATGCATAATGTTTTCAAAACTCGATATCACGGTTAGTAGAGGCCGATCTTTGATCGGGCGAGTGGGGGTGCTCACGAAGTGACCTTTACCAATCGTACCCAAGTTCCTGAGCCGAGGCAACTTTGGTAATGATGGACACGTGGCCTTCGGCATGAGTCAGGGTTTCCTAAATTCCCCCAAAATAAAATATTTAGGTGGTGACTCTGTATCTGGCAAAGCAGTCCATGTTTGGCACTTCTTTCTAAAAACCTGTTTTTCAAAACGATTTGCCAGATTTGGACTCTATGATGATTCATCAGTCTTGCATTGCACTCTGTGAGATTAGATACAGGACCATGACTTTTGAGTCCGAACTGTAGTGAGCCCAAACGAACAAAACGGGATTTCCCTCCCGGGACGTCTACGGGGACGTTCGGGCACGTCTACAAATATCATTAATGAAACCTTTAAATCAACCAAATCTAACACACATACACACACATATATATATATATAACTCAAGGAAATTTCCCTACCTTAATGTTTGATGAAGAAAATGAGATGAAACCTAACTTCAAGGAAGAGAGAGAGGGAGCTTGATTTCTACCACACCAAGTGAAGCTCTTGCCCTAGATCTTCAAGATTGAGAGAGATGATGATGATCTAAACCCAAGGATTGCAAGAATTAAAGTGTTTTAGTGTTTTGGTGAAGGTTTCTAGAGAGAAGGAGGAGAGAAATAAGGTTTAAAGTGAGAGAGAAAAGCCCCACAATGAGATACAATTCGGCCAAAAAGGGAAATAAAAACAGAGGTCGGGCTGCCCAGACATCTTGCACGTGCGACACGTGCCCCGCACGTGCGGCTCTCAACCCCGCATATGCGGCCCTTCCCGCACGCACCTTGCTCCGCACCTGCATATATTGCAATGTGCTGCCCTAGCTCTCCCTTGAAATTCGCACGTGCGGCCTCACACCCCGCACGTGCGGCCCTTGGCCCCCGCACGTGCGGCTAGCCAACCACTCCAGAAAATTTCCCAACTCAAGTCTCGACACTCCGGACCCGACCTTGTTCCACCCCGAAACAAATGAAATTCAACACCAAGCGAAAACAAGGAAACATTTCAAGCCCAATCAAAAATAAAAAATAAAAAGACGGAGAGAAGAAAGAAAGGAAAGATAAGAAAAGAAGGACCCTGTCATCACAATAAGTGGGAGAATGTTATCATTTGTGCTCTTAAAAACCAATTTGTTGACTTTATTAATTGATTATATAAAATTGCTTGGCATTTTATTTTTCATTTTGTATATTATTATGGTTAATGTTATATTTAATGTTACATATGATGTGAACATAATGTCCCTTAGGTAACATTATAGAAAAACTTGCTAATGGCTAATAAACCAAAAGCTGGGAGTTATGATTTTTCGGCGTCTTATAGACCCAATTAATGTTCTAAGCTATGGGTGTTGATTAAGCGTCGCACTACTATGGCCTACACCTGTTTTGATGCTATATGAATGATTAACTCCATTATTGAGGTAGTGACCTTAGGCAAATAGGTAGGTGTTATGCAATAAGTACATGCACTAAACAAGATCGGTCTTGAGAACACCTATGGAATGATCACTGCCAGTTTACAAGGTAATTCTATTACAATACACTTATTTTCCTTTGACCTATTCATTTAACTTTGATATTGTCAATCGGTGACGTTGAACCAAAGGCTATACACGAATATGTTGGGTTATGTGAGTGGTAATTGATTTATACCAGTGCTTAACATGGAATCCACCATTCTCAAAATGAGAAAGTATATTTAATCAATTTTTCCTATGAACGTTAGACCAAAAGAAAACTGGCCGATTACATTTTCATAAAAATATTTCTATACATATATAATTACAAAATTACTATTTTTGAAAAATGCTTTTGGGATCCAATTAGAGAAAGGAAAAAATTTATAATTTGGTTACATGAGTTAGGGTTTTTTGATAGTGATAAATTTATCCATTCCTAGTAGCTCATATGGAATATAGTTTGGTGGAAGGAAGATTGTGACTAATTGTAAGAAAATGCCTAACTTGTAATTCTCTACTTTTACGAGTTTAATTGTAATGTGTTGATGGACATTATTGTAATGAGTAGAAGTTCTATATTATCTGTTTAAAAGATAATTAATGAAAAATTGAATAAGTTGTATCCTGTATATTTAAGATAAAAGATACATCTTTTATTTTATCCTCACAACTAAAAGATAGAGATCCCTAAGGATCTCACCTACATGCAAACTCTATCACGTGTTGTGTATATATATGGGATGTGTTTGATACAAAAATTGGCCATCAGAATTTTGAAGGTTTGTAGAAAAAATATAGAGATACTTGAATCGCTTGATAAGATATTATCAAATGTTTAGATTGAGATATTTTAGATTGTATAATCAGGTAATATTTCTTTAATGCCGATAAAAAAAAAAGGTAATATTTCTTTAAAAAATTATTTTTCAAAATAAATGATTTTTTTGCAAACTTTCAGACGAGTACCCTTACTTTCTACCTCCTAGGTCTATCATTTGTCAATACATCATGCATTTATCAATCTTATCTATATTGCTTCCAGTCATGACACTCACGCACTCTCACTCTCTCTCTCTCTCTCTCTCTTATTTTATTATATGCTGTTTTAATAAAATAAAAAAATAATAAAAAAAGCTCGTGCATTGACTCATTATTGTTCCGTTATAAATACTTATCTTAGGTGTTTGCAATTGTAACACCTAAAGCGAATGGCATCATCAAAACCAAAGGGGTTAGGGAGTTCACTGACCATTCAAGAGCTCGCCAAAGAGCCCATGCTTGTCATCCCAGAGCGCTACGTTCGTTTAGATAATGAACCTTGTCCAATTCTCTCAGAAGATGCCACTTCCCAAACCATCCCTACTGTTGACATGCAACAATTACTAATGGTTGAAGCAACTGATTTTCAACTAGACAGGTTGCATTCCATTTGCAAAGAATGGGGCATCTTTCAGGTTTTCTTCTCCCATATATCTTCATTTTATTTTATTTTATTTTTATTATCTTGCTTTCATTAGTACATCAGAGGCTGTATCATAAAGAGAGATAACAAGCCTCAAATTATTAATCTCCTAGTCAAGTGCAATAATTTTGGCTAATTAAATTAGCGTGTTTTGAATTTTATTTTATGAGCAAAAAGATAGCAATTATTGAAGAAAACCAAAAGGAGTACAGCTTGTTCAGTTGATTGACTATGGAGTATTTTGAAAAGTTAGTAAAAAAGTTAGCTTTTTTATTGGCTATGAATCAAGAGTTTCCTTCTACGATTTTTTTGGTTGAGGGAGAAAAAGTTCATTGGTACAAAAAGAGAGTAAAAGACTGGCACATAAAAATAATTAAATCAATAAAAAGGTAAAAAAAAAAATCTAGTTTGGTTGGTTTCAATTTTTTGAAGATTGAATTTTTTGTTTTTAGTAAATATTTTTCAAATTTTAGGTAATTTTTTTTACTTTTTTAGATGCATCTTACTTAGATGTATCAAAAAATAAAATATTTGTGAAAAAATATTTTAAAAAATTAATAAATACAAAAAAATATAAAAAATATACTAAATTTTCGTATTTTTTTTATATTTTTGGCATTTAATGAATTTTTTAAAGAATTTTTTTAAAGAAAATTATACTTTTTAAGTGTATTTATGTTAAATGTGTCTAAAAATTTTAAAAATTATTTAAAATATTAAAAAATTTAATAAAAATAAAAAAAAAAAACTTGAAAAATAAGAAAATAGAATTTTTTGAAAAGTGTTTTTTGAAAAATAAAAACAAGCAAGCTGAATTATTTTTTGTTTGGTTGAATTAAGAAAATAAATTGGTGTTAGAAAAGAAAAAAAAAAAAAGAAAAAAAAAAAGTTAAAAACCACTTTAGTTGGACCGATTTACAATAAATTAATTTTGATAGATGCTTTTGATGTGGTTTTCAAATTTTAAATTGAGAGCAGTTGAGGGGTTTGTGAGGACTGTGGTGAGTCCCGTTTCAATTATATGAATTGTTGATTTGATAAGTTTCTTCGTATATATCATTTATTAAAAAAATTAAGTTAACACAATAATTGTAATTTTTATTTTATTTTATCTTATCATGTTTGTATAAAAAAATAAAAATAAAAATAAAAAAAAATAGATGGATGAATGAAAATTTTACAATAATCGGATCGATCGAATTTTTTCAATTCATAAAATACACGGTGAACCTTACAAAATAAATTGATTAGATTATCAAAATGAGATTTGTGATAAATCTCATAAACTGCTCAAATTCTCTCAAGTATATATTTAAACTTGAAAGAAACCTTAACATTTTGGGGAACAACCCCATATATTTGAGGTAGAACCATACTAAGATGTGTTTTTGTGCAGAAAATGAAAATATATTTACTAATATTTGGTAGTGCTAATGTTTGTAGTTGGTGAACCATGGAGTTAGCCCTTTACTAGTGGAGAAACTGAAATATGAAATTATAGAATTCTACAAGCTTCCTTTGGAACAGAAGATGAAATACAAGATACAGCCCGGTGATGTTGAGGGGTATGGACAAACCTTGCTCATGCAAGATGATGAAAAACTTGATTGGGCAGATAGGTTTTATATGGTCATCAACCCTGTCCATAGAAGGAAGGCACACCTACTTCCACAGCTCCCTTCTTCACTTAGGTCCTCTCTCTCTCTCTCTCTCTCTCTCTCTCTCTCTCACACACACACACACACACACACAAACACATGTTGTAATGAATCTATGTATTTCGACACAAGAACATGTTCTTATATCTCCATGTACCGGTGTATTTAAAACACACATTATATAAATAATAATAAAAAACAACAACAAAAAAAAAAACAATAAAGTTAAATTTAAAATATGCAGATTAGTTTCATCTAAGATGTAGCCTTAAATCACATAATATTTTTCTTAGTATATAACATTTCTGATTAAACCATGTAACAATTTCTAGCTTGCAAAAGGTTTTTTTATTAGTTTTTTCTATTTGGTTGTTATTGATTTTTCAGAATAAAGTTATGGCTAAAAAAAATGTCGATGCAATTGGAATATAGTTTAAAAAGTCATCTTTTGTTATTGAGAAAGTTTTGGTCCAGTATTTTTTTTCGTAATTTTTTTTTGAATTTTAAAATTTTTTATTTACTTATTAAATCCTTCTAAACTATAAAGACTTGAAAATTTTAAAACTTAAAAAACATAAATAAAGACAAAAAAGGTATATATATATATATAAAAGCAAAATGAAAAAAAAAAAGTGATTTTTTAGCACTTGCCAAACATGGTAGATCTTGTAAAAAAAAAATGTTCGTCTTTCTCAATTGTCAAATAAATAAGATGAATTCAAACCGTTACAATGTTTTTGGTAAGCTTATTTTCAACTTTAGTAAGAAAAAAATTTAAAAATATTTCAAAAAACTTTAGACGACAATGCTACGTAGCTCAAATTTTGTGGCTCAAAAGTGGCTCAAATGGCCAAAACGACGTCGTTTTAAGTACAGAACAATATAAAAATGGCCAAAACGACGTCGTTTTAAGTACAGAACAATATAAAAATGGCCAAAATGGCGCCGTTTTGGCCATTTGAGCCACTTTTGAGTCACAAAATTTGAGCTACGAGACATTTTCCAACTTTAGACTTCTAGATTATACTTGGCGAGATAAATTGAGAAAATTTTAAAAAGTTAAAAAAAGATAAAAATAGTGGACTTTTTCATTTTTAAAATTTATTTTTCAAACTTAAAAAAGAAAAATTAATTTTTAGATTTGACTAGACAAGCAAACTAGAGAAAAATAAAAAAAATTGACAATTTTGAAAAAAAAAAAAAGTCACTAAAAAAGTTTTTAAAAAAATGTGATTTATTTGGAAATTCCAAACAGCCAAATTTCCAAAAAAAAGTGACTGTTTCTTGCCTGAAACCAAACATAGGTATTGCATAATCATTTTTTCTTTCGTCTTGTATAATTTTTTTTGTTTTTAGGGAAACCTTGGAGTCTTACATCTCAGAGTTGCAAAAACTTGCAACGACAGTTTTTGGGTTGATGACAAAAGCTCTAAAGATTGACAAGGGAGAGATGGAGGAGATGTTTGATGATGGAGTGCAATCAGTGAGAATGTCATACTATCCTCCATGTCCCCAACCAGAGATGGTGATGGGCCTGAGGCCTCACTCTGATGCTACCTGCATCACCATCCTTCTGCAAGTCAACGGAGTTGAGGGTTTCCAAGTTAAAAAAGATGGGATTTGGATTCCTGTTAATTTCCTTCCAGATGCCTTTGTTGTTAATGTAGGAGACACACTAGAGGTTTGTTTTCCATACTCTCTTCAAAATTTAAATTCAAATAAAATAATTCTTCTAAATTACTTGTTCTGATCTGGTCAACATTTTTTGAACCAACCTTATCATTTTCAGAACTTTTTTTTTCTTCCTTCTAGGTTGAATGTATGTTTCAAGGGAAATACTATGGTACACTCCTCAAATGTGTGTATACACCTTATAATTAAAAAAAAAAAATGATATAACTTCATATTTTTTGAATTAAATTTTAAAAAAAAAATTCATAACCAACACACCATGATGCATAATTAAAGATTTCAAGAGTCATAACTAAAATAGTGTCATAATTTATATATATATATATATATATAAAATTAATCATAAATAAAGAAGAAAATAATATAATTAAGAGTATCTCCTGTGTATATTAAAATTTCTCATGGTTTCAAACATGGCAGGTACCAACAAGTATGTATATATTATTCATATATGGTACATCTCTTGTTTTATTTTATTTTTTCTTCTATTATTTTTTGTTGTATGCTATTTTGATATCATACTAAATTATTGACCACAAACTCATCTTAAAAATAAAGAATAAAAGATAATTTTATTATTTATATTTTATTCTCCACCATTTACATAACCTTATTACCACAATAATTACCATTTTGTTTTGAATTCAAGAAGAAAATTGCATCAGCATAACAAGGTGCCGACATGTTCAGTGCTAGAGATAAGATGTATAGTATTAATCTTCTTTTGCAAATTAATAGATGAGTAATGATTCATAACTCTAAATTTAAAACTCCAACATTGGCACTAATGATGAGGCATGGAGCAAAAAAAAAAAACAAAATTAAATCATTCATGAGTAGAGCCAACTGTCATATAAGTACAACCCTAGTTAGAACTCTACTTTTAGTGCTCTCAAACATTTTTGTTAATAGATAAGGACGCTTAAGAAATAGTAGATATTCGAACAACTCTAAATTAGTGATGTTACAATGGTTGAAAGAAATGTGGAAATTGTGTATCTGTATGTTATATAAATAACCATGTACAAGAGCTTCTATATATAGGAGAGTGATACAATCCCAATCTAACTTTAATTCCTAACTTATGATATACATTAACAATGATATACATTAATTAGGATATAGATTAATGGCCCCCATCAAACTCAAGGTGGGTAAGCATAAACCAACTTGAGTTTGGAAAGTAAGGCCTTGTTTGTCATGTACTAAAAAAGTCAAAAAGTCACCATCCTATTTAAGTCACATGATCTTATTTAAGTCACATCACCTCTCTACCACATCACTTCAAACCCAATCTATATTTCATAAAAAGTCAAAAAGTGCACTTATTTAGAACATCTCAAACCACCTCTAAATCTCTGAAACAACTAGGAGGATGAGCCATGGTGAAAATATCGGCAGGTTGATCACTAGAAGCAATAGAGAGAAGATGAACAGTGCCAGATGTAACATGTTGTCGAATGAAATGACAATCAATCTTAATATGTTTGGTGCGATCATGGAACATTTCATTGTGAGCAATCTGAATGGCACTCTGATTGTCACAATAGAAAGAGGTAGCACCAGGAGAAGAAACACCCACATCAGAAAGGAGCAAGTGAAGCCACAAAAGTTCCTGAGTAGTGTCAGCAATAGTGCGACATTTAGCTTCAGTACTAGAGCGAACAGTGAGGGGCTATTTCTTGCTGCACCAAGTAAGAAGTGAATTCCCTAAGAAGAGACAGAAACCCATGATAGAACGTCGATCAGTAGAATCCCCGGCCTAATCAGTATCATAAAAGACATAAACCTCGAAAAAAGAGTGAGCAGAGTAGTGAAATCCATGGAACATAGTGCATTTAAAGTAGCGAAGTATGTGAAGTAAAGAAGTATAATGCGGGTGCGGGGAGCCGACATGTACTGACTAACAAGATGGACAACGTAGGTAATGTCAGAACAAGTCACAGTGAGATAGACAAGACTACTTGCCAGCTGGTGATAAAGAGTAACATTAGAGAGAAGATCCCTATCGAGAGAAGTGAGATGAGTCTGAGGATCAACGGAAGTAGAGGTAATCTTGCAATCAGTAAGACCAGCATGTGCTTGAAGATCAGAGGCATATTTGGCTTGTGACAAATAATAACCAGTGGAATCATAAGAGATTTCAAGCCCTAAGAAATAATTGAGAGTACTAAGGTCCTTTATCTCAAACTTATGATTAAAATATTGTTTTAGGCTAAGAATACCAGCAACATCATCACTGGTGTAATAGTATCATCCCAGTAAAGAAGAGAAGAGCGGGTGCCATGAGGAGTGGTTTCAACAAGAGGGAGCGCGAGAGTTTCATATGAGCTGGAGGTGAAGCTGAAGTCTTGAATGGTAGAACTGAATTTAGCAAACCATGCTCGTGGAACTTGCTTAAGACCATAGAGAGCATGCTGTAGTTTGAAAACCTTATGAGCCGCATTGGCAGACTTAGGGGGAGGTTGCATGTAGGCCTCCTCAGGAAGATCACCATTACGAAAGACATTTTTGACATCCATCTGAAAGAGATCCCAGTCAGCTATGTACAAAGGTAAGCTGAGCAACTGGAGCGAAAGTGTCCTCATAATCAATGCCATATTCTTGGTTGAAGCCCTTTGCAATAAAACGGGCTTTCATAGCGCTCAATAGAGCCATTAGAATGGGTCTTGATTTTGTATACCCATTTGCAGTCAATCGTAGTCTTTCCAGGAGAAAGATCAACAACATCTCAAGTATGAGTTTTTTTTAAAGCCTGTAGTTCATCAGTCATAGCTTCCGGCCAAATAGGATTAGTACAAGCCTCGTGATAGGAGGTAGGTTCATAAGAAGAAAAGGTAGTAGACCCAACAATATAATCATGAAGATGAATAGGGGATTGAATTACACAATGTGGATAATCGGTGGAAAGATCTATGGGGAGTAGGGTTAGTGGTGAGGTAGAAGATGAGCTATAAGGTGTAATGGATAGTTGACCATTAGGGAGAGCAGTCTGGAGGGAATCAGGGGTTAGCAAAGGCGTCTTTACAAATGAAGAACCTACATCAAACGCATTAAAGAAGAGATCTATGGAAGGATTAGTAAACATGATGGATGTAAAGAGTGACGGTAAGTGAAACGAGGATAGGGATGAAAACATTTTACGCTCCTAGAAAACCACAAGACGGGATATACAAAAACGTTTAGAAATAGGATCCCAACAACGATAGCCTTTATGTTCAATCTCATACCCGAGAAAGCAACAAAGTCGAGAGTGAGCTTCAAGTTTGGTGTGTTTGTGAGGTTGAAGGAGGACAAAACGTACAAGCCCAAAAACCAAAAGATGTGTTTATAGAGGGCTAGTGCCATGCAGACGTTCAAAGGGAGTTGGATTGTGGATGACAGGAATGGAAACACTATTAATAGTATACACAACAGTAAGTGTAGCTTCCCCCCGAAAGGTTTCAGAACATGAATAAGAGAGAAGGAGAGCTCAAGTAGTGTCGAGAATATGTCAAGAATATGCTGATGTTTCCTTTCAGCATGTCTATTTTGCTGGGATGTGCCAGCTAGGAACAATGAGGCTGAGTTCCATGACTCTAAAGAAAAGAGAGGAAATCCGAATTCCAATACTCCATAGCATTGTCAGAGCGAAAAAAATTTATGTTCTTTGAAGATTGGGTTTGGACCATTTTTGCAAAGGTATAATAAATTTGTTTAAGTTCAAATCAATTTTTCGTGAGAAACAACTATGTAAACCTTGAAAAATCATCAACAAAGATAACAAAATAACAAGATCCCCCAATGGTAGTAGTAGGAGATATGGCCCAGATATCAGAATGTATGAGATCAAAAGGTACATGGGAAACATAAGTACTTTTATTAAAAGATAAAGCAGGTTTTTTTTTTCATGACCTAAACCCGCCCCTATAGGTTTAGCGTCATAACCAATCAGTAATCCTAAGATTACCTACGGCCTCTGAAACAGAATCACAAAATAAGAGGCTAGCGAAAGCAAATAACAAAAATATATTTGTCTAATGAGCTGTGCAGATTTATATGAAACATAATATTTAAAACTTTATATACATATCCAAAAATCATTCTCATGTTATACCCACACATTTAACTACAACATCTTAAGTACAGCCAACAAAAACAAACAAAGTCTTATATACAGAAACAGCCGGAGCTTATAACACGCGACATTTCAGGAGCCTCCATGTGAGACACAATGATTGGCTAACAATAGAGCACAGATCCAGACAAAAGTCTTCAGGCCTGATCTCTAGAACACTCACTTATACATATATATACAGAGTGAGCTAAAACCCAGTGAATAGCATAAATGTAAAGAAATTAGTGAACGAATTCCGAACATATCATATTTATAAACTAGATCACAATTGAATCAATTCTCATATCCGAATATAATAATGGTATATCCAATAGAATATGTCACATCGTCATCTAACTAGGGTAATCAGTTCCGAATACCAATTAAACACATATCACCACAATGTCTAGTGGCTAACGAGATCTCGTATGACATATATGTCATGGACCAGCATTTACATGTCGTCCCCCATGACTTTGGACTATCTGTGGATGCCATAATAGATTCCAAACATAGGACATTCGTTTACATAAACAAATATCATTTCAGAAATCATAACTTATTGAATCACATTTAGAACATAATTCATATGAACATATCTTTACAATAACATTACTCACTGTGGGCTTCCAGAAACAGTTAATCGGTCTCCAATTCTCAACCTACAATAAAAAATGTACATAGCACAAAACACGTCTTACCATTACACATTCATATGGCCATCCCAGCTTAGCTTTCTTTACATTGATTCTTATTCTTTCTTATCACATGCTCGAATACATTGAAACATACTCTTTGTAATCTCTTAACTTATTACATTTTTTTCTTAGTGTGTTTTTAATTCATATTCTCATTATTGAACCTAATCATGGCTTAAGAATGCCTAAGATAGA